CTGTGGCCGCTCTCCACATCAGATGCTGTGGGTGCATTCTCATTACGCCGGCATTCTGGGCACTGGCCACGGACGACCGTTTAGAGGGATGGCCGTCTGACTCATGGTGGATGGCACTGTGCTGCCAATCAAACAGTTGCTTTGGAGCATTTGCTCTTAGCTGTGCTCTTGACTGACACTTACTAAAGTGGGTTTGATGCCTGCAGGCTCCTCTGACATATTCTTCCTGCCCTTTGGGTTTATCTTTGTTACGAGAGATTAGTCTGTTTCTGTTAACAGCCTCTAACATGTGGCATTTGCCTACACTCACCACACCACAGTCAAAGCAGATGATTTAGGGAATACAGTTTCCCTCATATTTCTTCTCTTTTCTCTCCCCCAGGGGGCAGACAACATCAGTGCATGTATATATGTCCGGGGGTGTTTACTGTGTTTCCTCCTTAACAGGGTAATTACTGGACAGTGAAGATAAGAATTTTAGAATTTAGTTATTAGTGGTCTTTGTAGACCACAGCACACAGTGCACAACAATGAAATGTGTCCTCTGCATTTAACTCATATGTGATGTTGTGACATACAGTAGCAGGGGGCAGCTAATTCAGCACCCGGGGAGCAGTGCTTGGGGGCGGTACCTTACTCTGGGTACCTCAGCAGTGCCTTGCTGGTCGGGGATTCGAACCTGCAATCTTTCAATTACAAGTGCGCTTCCTAATAGCATATATGCAGCAAACACACTGTAGCACACCTACCGCAATCCATTTAAAATAAACCGAATGTAAAAATTTAGGCTGCTTGTCAAGTTCATGAGCAATGTGACTGAGGCAATAGAACCTGTCATTGATTGGATAATGTAGCCTCTTAACAAACAAGCTCCCCTGGTATCAGTGAAGTATATCTAAACAGATCAGACCATCATATATCTACTGATGAAACCCATTAGGTGGTGCAGCAGATGGAGAAGGATTCTTGCAAGTACTGGGAGGACTGGGGCCAGACCAGAGCATGAGCCTTTTCCTGTAAAAGGGACATTGCTGATAAATGACCGGCAGAGTTCAATCTGTTATAATATTTATTATTAGAAAACGTGTCTAACAGTTTCATATTTTTATCCAAGTTCTTTTAAGTCAGGATGTTTAAAATGATTTACTAAAAGGATTTATTTATTCAATATTGTTTTAAATGTTTAGTTTCGACGTTTTATTTCACTTTTTCGTTCAGACAGGTTTGAGTTACGTTGGCTGGAGGCCAAAGGGCACAAGCTGAACGAAGGCTGTAATCTGCTGTTCAGCTGGACTGTCTCCTGCCTGGCAAATGCTGCACTCGTCTTTAATGCTATTCATTAATAAGCAGGAGGCACTTGCATCTGTGACATGCTCTGCCCAATCATTTTGGTCCTCTTCCTTGATGCTGAAAGGCCCCATTTTATTGACCACTCTCCTTGGTGCTGAAGGTCTCTGTCTTGGCCTCCAATGACAAATGGGAGCAGGCTGACTCATGCTTGCCGTCTGCACAGGACCCAAACACTCACCAAAGGCCCCAGCAGAAAAATCCTGCTGAAAGATACTACCGTGTCCTTGTGTACAGAAACGGAGATGCAGTGTTTTATGAATTTATAATTTGGAAAGAAGACCTACCAGGTCTATCTTGCTCTATAGGGTTTCAGTGCTACAGAGGGACAATGGACTTGGTTGAGTTCCGGGGCACTCTCCTACAAGTCCAGAGGTTTTAAGTAGGGATGGCTGGGATGAAAATATAGCCCTCAGTAAGCAAACAGTCAAGAACCCAATCCACCATGCAGGACAGAACTTAACCACAAGGAACTTAGAACATAGCCACATTGGCACAGCCAATAGAGCTGTCATATCTGGGCCCCCGAGGGTGAGCAATCCTTGATGTTCTGGTTTTTCACCTCATTGTTCATTATGGCCGTGCACTATCACGGACACAGGGCATGGTGTAGGCAGGGAAAGGAGGTGACAATCCACTAGCGGCTCTGAGACACAAGGGGGCTTATTACAGAAACTAAATACACTGGGTAAAACTACAAACAAAAGGACAACAAGGAGTCAGAACTAAACAGGGGTAAAACGCTACTAACAGAACCATAAATGACATACAAAGGGAAACCGGTAACACAGAGAACAGGAAACAAGACCCTGAACATTCTAATACAAGGACCAACCGGGGAAAAGAACTAAGGCAGGAACTTAAATATACACAGGAAACCAGGGAAAACAAGAAACAGGTTATGACTCATAATCAAGTAATCAATCAAGGGAGGTGCAGGAACAACAAGAAACAGGTGGAACTAAAAACCATTTGGCACAGAAGCTAGGGAGCTTTACAAATATTAACTGGGAATATAAAGCAAAGCTAATCAATTACAAAATCAAATGTTACAAAAAAAGTAGAACAGAACAGAAGAAGGGTGAACCAAGTGCAGGAATTAAAGACACAAAATAAACAGAGAAACTGAAAATGAACAAATGCAAATAACAGGTGAGGCTGGTCAGTATCAGAGTCACTCATCCCAGTGAGCTAAGCAACAGTCAGGGAGCAAGGAAAACACACAAGAATTATCAGACAAGAAATGACAAGACCTGATGGCCAGCGACACCTGCTGGCCAAACGGGGAAGAGACACAAAGGGCCGGATCAGACAGGTGCTGACACTGCATGGTTTTAGTAAAATACAGTGGTACCTCAGTTCTCGAACTCATTAGAACTTGAATTTTTTAAAAGTCGAACCAACCAGTTCGAAAAAAAATTACCTAGAGCTCGATCTGAATCTCAGAAGTCAAACAGTGAACGCCGACCTAAAATAACTTGTATGTGCGGGAAAATGAGTCGTGGCATGTCTCTCAGCAGAAACAACGGGTAATGCCTCAGTCTTAGCCTCGCATTCGCTGTGATAGCACCGTGTATGTTTACACTGAATACATGTTTAACTGAATACATACAGTATATATAGACAGTAAAAATACATTTAGACAATGATAGACAGTAACAGTAATTATTATTATATAATAAAATACATTGACCATACAATGACCGGACTGGGGAAACGCGGACGAAATACAGAGGACTAATGAAAACAACCAGAAACAGCTGATCACGATTCTACATGAGGTTAACGAGGGGGCATGGCACACGGAAGGAGCGGACAATCGGGGCAGGACACATTGTTTGGATACACTTGTTTTCTTACTTTACAAATTACTGTTTTGATAAATGTGCTTAGATGTGTTTAGTACAGTATATGCCATGGGTCTCCAACTCCGGTCCTGGAGAGCTACCGTCCAGTAGGTTTTCTATCCTACCTGGCTTCTGATGAGCCACACCTGTCCTCAGGTAAATACCAGGGCCAGGTGTGGCTCATTAGAAGCCAAGTAGGATAGAAAACTTACTGGATAGTAGCTCTCCAGGACCGGAGTTGGAGACCCCTGGTATATGCCATTCTTGTTTTATCCGGTTCATTTTGTGTTTAAATGCTAAAAAAAACATATCTAGGTGTAATTTTTTGGGGACGGGAACCAATTAATTGGTTTTCCATTATTTCTTATGGGGAAAATTCGATCACAACTCGAACTTTTTACGATTCGATCCGGAGTTCTGAACGGATTAAATTTGAGTTCTGAGGTACCACTGTATCTAGTAAACAACAAACATCTTCAAAATAAAAATTGACTTCTGACTCAGTCTCTATACTGTAGTTTTGGGTTAGACACTTCTTAATGCTTATTATAGGAAGCTTCACTATTAGCGAAAAACAAGATAATCAGATTCTATATCCAGAGTAAGAATTGTAGTGTAGCAATTAGAGGATATTTTTCTTCTGTGTTTAGAGCACCGAAGAATTTTAGTATTTACTGCCGTTTGTGATGATGAAATACGCAACTATACACATTACACTTAGTAAAATCCAGCCCCAGCTCCTGATTCTGGATTGATGCTGCAGATACCAGCAGTCATTGATTTAGAAATTTCAATTTGATTGCTTCATATAACTGCAGATACGAACAGCATTCTATGTCAATCCTTGCACTTGTTTAAAATTTTACATGAGTTGTCACTGCAAGTGAGACATGCCTGGAATGTGCAGAGACTAAACAGCAGTTTGTTCTATCTTTAACATTATTTGCATGACATTATATTGGATTTGTGGAATTAATTCTTAGATGCTTCATTTCTCCAGAATATTTGTTAATATTTGTTAATGATTTTCGGAGGGTGAAAACTCGTCTGAAATAGGACGATCTGACTAAAGGTCAGCCTGTTCCACTGAGGAGCAGCAGAGATGATAAATGCTGGGAACATTGTGAGAGATGATGAAGTTAGATTTTCATTTTTGATGGTTTCTTTTTAATAAAGTGTAAGCCAAAAACACTGACGCATTTCAGAGCTTAATTTTGAAGTGATTAACAGCAGAGAAGTTAATAAAACTAAGATACCGTCTTTTGAGCCTTCGAAGGGCTGCCATCACTGGAATCCTAATTACAGTTCTAGAAGTTCAATAGGGTCTCTGCCATGTAATGAGTTTCTAATTAAGACTTTGTCAAAAATGATAATGAAGAATTAGCTTTTTAATACTACAGACAGTGCAAGGTCTGTCTATTATCAGACCCTACAGTTCCTTGCTAAATGTGTTAAAGATCTATATTGTTTATTGTTTAAAAAAAAATTATGTCGAAAATTTGTACTGGTGTATTTTTTTCTGTGACTTAATAATGCAAATTTGAATCCCCCGTATTTAATATCACACAGTAAGGTCAGCTATTTTCTTTCAGTCTTATTAGTGTAGCTTTCCAGCAGCAGCTGCCTAATAGTAAACATGTCTGTCCAGTTTGAAGGATGCTTTTATCTTTTAGCTAAACGCTGGGATCTAGTTTTGATAGCAATATTAAAGGGAAATGAGGGTAAATGTTTACTGCTAGTACCATGTACCTGTGATGCTGAGCCTCCTTTTCTTTCCTCCCTCACCCTTCTTACTCTTTTAATTAGGTCTTCACGCGTTATGGGAAGTGCTACACTTTCAATTCAGGACAAGGACTTCCTCGGCTGCTGTCTGTTAAGGGTGGCATTGGCAATGGACTGGAGGTGATGCTGGATATACAACAAGACGAGTACCTCCCAGTATGGGGAGAGACTGGTGAGATTGTCAGGGGAGAGTGAGGAGAGACATTCGGCTCTATATGTGTGCCATAGGTTATATAATGTACTTCCATTCTTATTTTATATATGTGTGCTTAAATCATCCTGTAAATTTAATTCCAACCTGGTTATTTCTCATCGTTTGCGAGCACGTTTCAAGCCAGTAAGCCTGACGCAAGCAATCTCTGAGCCTGACCAGAGCAATGGTGAATTAAATGGGAACAATTTTTTGGTAAATGGTGCTGCTGACTATGTACTTTGCATGCAGGCCAGCACAGAAGCACAGGTACAAACATTCACACACAGAGATGATAGCTATTTAAAAAGAAATATTTTGTTTACTAGTGCTCGTAAATCACATAATAACATCCAGACCCAAACATTAGGGGGTGCTGCAGCACCCTCCCATGCCCTTGATTAAATGTTCTTCCTGCTGGAATTTTAGTTTAACTTTTAGCTTTAAATTCACCTTTTCGTTTATTGCTCCATAAGTACGATCTTCCCCAAGTCACCTAGGTCTGTTTTTGTGTTTTCCTTTTGCATATGTGATGAGATCTGACAAACCTTACACACTAATTGTATCCAACACCATCTAAAATTTTATGAACAATTTTATGAAGAAACACATGTTTCTTTTATTTTGGCACAGTTGAGACTTCATTTGAAGCTGGAATCAAAGTACAGATCCACAGTCAGGATGAGCCGCCCTTTATCGACCAGCTGGGCTTTGGGGTGGCACCTGGATTTCAGACTTTTGTTTCCTGCCAGGAACAGCGGGTATGGATGTAGTTTTAGCTCAAGGCCTTTCTGAAGTACAAGACATACATGTTTTTTTCATGCATGAAACAACTTTGGAGTGTAATGCTACATGATATTTAAATGTGTCCGTAACTGAATAGAATGACCAATATGGTTGCAGTGGTGTATGTCCTTTGTCCAGATTTACATGTATGTATGATACAGCTGGTGTATCTTCCTCCACCCTGGGGTGACTGCAAGACAACGCCCATGAATTCAGACTTTTTTGACACATACAGTATCTCAGCCTGTCGCATTGACTGCGAGACCCGGTACTTGGTAGAGAATTGCAACTGTCGCATGGTGCACATGCCAGGTGGGCCACTGCTTCATCATGATGTCACACTTTTATGTATTCTTATGTATGTTTCTTTGGTAACCCTTCCTATGAATGCCATGGCTTTAAGAATGTATGTCCATAACACATTATGGTTCATTTATTAAGCATAAACATGACTATAAATATTTATAAAAAGTCACACTATAGCCACGTTTATTGTGCATTAGGAATGCTTTATTAAGCTCTCATCTATAATGCACAATAGATACCTTTATAATGCAATACAAACTATCCTTCATTTTTATACCAACCATTAAGATGCATTATGAAGGTATCTATAGTGCATTATAGATGAGAGCTTCATTGGAGCTTATGAAGTATTATAATCAACATTATAATGCCTTATGACTGTTAATAGAAGATGCTGTAATGCTTTATTAATCCTTATACTGACCATTACAATGCATTACAGGTGATAACTTCAAGTAAAGTGTTACATATTTTTTAATATTTCGGCTTACTTTATTAACGTGATCCTACTTTGAACTGTTTTATTGTTGGCTAAATTTTAAGTAGAAACATGTGGTCCCTGTTCTGCTGCAGGCGACGCCCCCTACTGCAGCCCAGAGCTGTACAGGGAGTGTGCTGACCCAGCTCTAGGTGAGGACCAGCGCATTTTTGCTCATTTGTGTAACCCAGTAGGCATGGAGAAACACAAGGTCCTATTTTCAAGTTCAGCTGAACAGTAATATGAGCATTTTTAAAAGTTAGTATCAGAACATTATTGGGTAGAGGAACATGGAAGTCAACCGCTGACAAACCATGAGCTCTCAATACGAGGCAGTGGACCTGTGTTCCCTCAGGTCCTCCAGTGCTCCAGCTCCTGTCATATAATAACTTTGGCCTGTTCCTGTTCCTGTGTACAGACTTCCTGTTAGAAAGGGACAATGACTACTGTGTATGTGAGACACCGTGCAACACAACACGCTACAGTAAGGAGCTGTCATTTGTGAAGATCCCCAGCAAGGCCTCTGCCAAGTACCTGGCTAAGAAGTTTAACAGGTCACAGCAATATATTGCGTGAGTCTCCTCATACATACCCTGCTTTACACGGCATATATATCCATACAGTGATTAGCAGTTTTGTCGTGCCGTCTTCTATTTTGAAAATTTATCATATGAATGAGGGCAGTTTTGTTCAATTTCGAAGCAATTTTTACACAAGCAAGTGGAAATTATAAATACTTTTAAAATTCTTTAACTGCTTACTGAGTGAATTATTGGGAATTAAATAAGGAGTTGTTATAATATGCTTTGTCAGTTATGATTATAAATAAATAATCTTTAGTTTTCAGTGCTGTCTTGCAGTAAAAGCTAAAGGTCACATGGAAACCAGCTGCCAACCTCCAAGCTTTTGGTAACGATTCAAAGGGCAAATCATCTATTATAGCATCATTATATTATATCCATTAGGTGGTTAATGAAGGAAACATCTACAGGACAAATGTAAAAAATTGCATTACCAGAAATTATGCAGTGAAGATTCCCACATTTGGGGAATTCGCAGCGGTCAGTGCAGTGCAATAGTGAAGCCTTACCCTGAGTGAAGCGCCATCGTGATCCTGCTGTCCCCCCTCCAGTTAGGCTGAGATACACTTCAGTGTTGAACATGCTTTCTCTCCCACCCACAGTGATAATATGCTGGTGCTGGATATCTTCTTTGAAGCCTTGAACTATGAGACCATAGAACAGAAGAAAGCCTATGAAGTAGCAGGACTGCTAGGTACTTTTGCTACTTCATTACCTAATAGTAACCAAATGTCACCAGATTCTTTTTCATTATCAGTTTGTTAAAGTTTTCATCTTACACTTGTTTCTTGCAACTGTGTTCTGCATAGCAGGTATTTTGTATGCCTATAGCGGCGGTCTATTTCTGAACATCTATTTCTGTCACAGGTGACATTGGCGGACAGATGGGCCTGTTTATAGGTGCCAGCATTCTTACTATTTTGGAGCTGTTCGACTATCTGTATGAGGTAGATCAATTTGATTTGTCTCTAGTGGAGAATCACGAAGGAGGTCTTTGTTAAGTTTGTAATGAGGTTGGCTCGTTCTCCTGCAGGTGGTAAAGCACAAGCTGTGCTTCCACTCCCAGAAGAAGCAAGAGCAGAGCAGCGACAGTGAACGGGGGGCGGTGCTGAGCCTGGATGATGTAAAGCGTCATGTTAGTAACTATCACTGAGTATATGATAATTACTGCTGCTGACTACTGAAGTCTTGGGGGGTGGTATGTTGCAAACTATTTAATTCCATACTTTGCTGCTTCCATGAATGTGTTTTAAGAATTTGCAGCATTAGCACTTGAGTATGCAGAGTAAAGTACATACTGGAATACACAGATGCTTACTTGGATGCCATTCCACTGATGCATGTTTCTCTCAGAACACTTTGGTGGAGTATGCTTACTAATGTAAATATCTATCAAATCTCTGTGTAGGTACAAAGTGTATACTAAGCAATTATGTACTCTGGAAGAGATCCAGAAAGACAAGAGTATGGAATGGAGAGAGAGACAGATTTATGTAGTGAATCTGTGTGAGAACAGATAAAAAATAATTAGTTGGGCCCAAAACAATCTGCATAAATATTTGCATACATATACTATGATTATGTTGTTCTTGTCCCTTGACTATGTTTATTTACAAATATTACATAAAATGTGTGCATTCGAAAAGAGCATCAGTGTTTAATATGTAAATCAATATACATGTCATTTGGTTATGTTTTATCTGAAAGATTTTGTGTCCAGCTCTTCCCATTTTACATTAGTGTAACTACACAAAATGAAATATATATATATATATATAAACTTGAATGTTAAAATTTTACAAATAATTATTTTATAATAGTTTCTACTTATTTTGACTGAATTCAGCCGGATAGTTTTTGTTAAAATTTTTAAGGAAAAATCAGCATGTCAGTGAAAAGAGACAATGTATACCATCTCAAAGTTTTCCGTGTAATGATACAAAAACATGCGGGCACCACCTGTGTATTTCTGTGCAGAAATAGCATGCTGTACACAACTAATGGATTATTACTTTTATGACGATTAAATTACTTTAGAGAACCAATATAAATCATATAGAAAACATTAATAGCGCTTAGTGGAAAACTGAATAACAGTCAAGAAACAGTGGATGCCAACTTAGTATTATCAGAAAACACATTGGTGTTACTTTGTTGAACCAAATATCTTGAAGCATATGATGAATGATACATAATAAAAAGGAAATGCTGTCACACTTTGCATTGGGTTGCAGTTACTAGCTGCAGTTACTTAAGTTTAAATTGCCTTTGAGTTTAAATTGGACTTTTTTGCATAATATGTATGTATTAATGTTGGTTGTATTAATAACTATATCAGCCTATCTAAATGGCAATGTTTACCTGGATTAGCAGAATAAAAAGTGCCATTCAGCCGCGAGACCTCCACATGGGAGTCACATATGTATTATATATTTAGCTCATTTTTATTTCTTGGAGGGTTCTCCACACAAATGATTAAGTTATAGTTGCCTTTTTGACACACACTGTATGATTTTTCACATTTTTGTCAAATGTCATTTTCAGTACAGATTTTGATGTATTATGTAATATGGATTGTGCATTATCCTCCATAAAGATGCTTGCTTATATAATATTGTTATTAATAATAAACTACAAAGTCCTTGTCTCAGTTTGGAGAGTGCTGAATGATTTCTTCATCTGTCTTTAGAAAAGGCATGTAATAATACTAAAGTCACAAGGTAGGCAATGAGACCAGTACAGAACACTGGAAATGGCTGGAACAGCTGGCTGATAAAGTACCCAGTTCCACAACCCCTAGGCAGTTTGATCTCTCTTTGGGGATAAAGAAGACTGAATTAAAATATAATGCACTGCACTGCACTGTTCCCACTCCCTTGATGTCTCCTTGCCATGGGCATAATAATCAAAACCAGCCAATACTACCCCCCCTAAATGGGTGGAGACCTCAACCTCCCCCCCAACCCAAAGTTATGCCCTTGCTCCTAGTTGTGTGTCAGTGGTGGCTGCTGTCCAACATTTTTCTGAAAGCAAACTCTAGACTGTCCCACTCCCAATTAATTTCAGAGCTGATTATACATTAGTCATTACTATAAATGTTATAGCAAATATTAAAATATTCATAACAATGTAGTCCTAAACATTTTCTATTGATTGCTAATTTCAGTCCAATGTAACCCTATTTAGCTTGTTTCCCGAGACTTAAATTGTGTGAGTATTAACCTGGTGAGCTGATGCTTATAATGTAATGCTGACAAACATTTCATGTTATGTTTTGAGCACCCTTTTCTGAAATGCAGTCATGGCAACACCAACATTCTGTGCTTACAGTTGTGTACTTATCCACAATAAAATACCCTCTGTAATGCAAGAATACCAGCAATTTCCAGCAATATGAATCTTTCTGGTAGTACAATTTTTTTGTTTGTTTTAAAATTCAATATAATCATAGACCTTCTATTTATCGTAATAAATCTAGAACATCTGCATTACAATCACAGGTGTTGTGTATGCTCATTATACACTATATAGCTGTACATTTCCAGCACTATTGCATGATACACTTCGGCCATTGACGATAAAGTTGAATCTAAATCTTAATCTATTTTCCAATTTATTTAATGGTGATTTTTTTTTAAATATGCAATAACTTTTCCTGATTACTAATCATAGTTTTTAAACAATTACTATTATTATCATATTTTTTAAATCTTATTGTCAGAGAAAATACAGCTCATTAGAATCGTTATCCCTAGCAGTAGCACCTAAAATGCTTGCAATGGTGCGCTGGGATCGAACTGGATACGCCTAGCAGCGATCATCCCTAGTGTCCACTACTCCTGAGATCTCTCGCTGAGATCGGCCCTCCTCCGGAAATCTCGGATCCCTGTCCCGGATATCGCGAGATCCGTGTACGCCGGTTACAGTCGCCGGCGATTGACTTGAATGGCAGAAGATGGCGGCTCGGGGTGGATTTCAGGCAGGCTCCGCAGCGGGAGTAGTTGGAGGAGGGATGAATCCTGGGCCTCAAAATAGTGGCGGGCCGCCAGGAATAGCTCCAGGAACACCCTCTGGCAGGATGGGACCATCATCCGGGCCGCAGAACCACCTATACCGTTCTCCTATGCCTGGGCCTGGCTATCCGGTAGGACGTACAATGGTATAATGCAGCTTTGGGAACAAAGGATATCCAGTTAGAAAATAGGGATTCAGCCAGATTGCATGGCGATATGACTTTAGTTATACATATTATAATCATATGCCTTTTACATCAGCCGTTTTCTTTTTTTTTTGTAATTATCAGTAACTAAGAACAACTTGAATCTTTGCAGTTCGTTGTGCAAAGTTGGTTGCAAAGTGCTATGAATAAAACATGGAAGTAGCGAACCAACTATTTTTCTGTCTTAGTAATTAGTTAGTGAAGTTGGACACCAACTATTGAAAATGTTAAGACAGTTTGCTACTCTGTGTTGAATGATGATGTTGTACATGTAGTCTACATTTGACTCGTTTATTTAAAGTAGCCAGCTTTTCACGTGTCGCTATCGGATGAAAAATAAATATTTTGGTTTGCGTAGCGTTTCATTTTGCAGTAACTTCTCCCCCCTCCTAACAGAGACCTGGTATGCCTCCTGGGAGCAGAATGACACCACAGGGCCCGCCTATGGGCCCGCCGGCTTATGGTGCCAACCCTATGACCCGGCCAGGTATGCCCTTAATGGACCCGACCCGGAAAAGACCAGCTCCTCAGCAGATACAGCAAGTGCAACAGCAGGCTGTGCAGAACCGCAATCAACAGTAAGGGCCTATTAACTATTAAAGGGACTTATGTAGATGTATGTATAATGACAAGTCACAGTAGCTCTTCTAATCTGCATTACTCAGTTAAGAAACATTCTGAATAACTATTGTATCCACAGCACTAAGAAGAAGAAGATTGCTGACAAAATTCTACCTCAGAGGGTGAGTCTGCTGCCTGGCTATTGGCCTTAATGTAAAAACACTGCATATTCAGATCCCTCATTGTGGCTGATGTCCTGCACTAGCAGTCATCCATAAGCAATGTACTTAACCTCAATTTATGACTGGGTATTGAAATAGTAGGAAGGTGAAAGGAAACAACCCATAAGTGTTGCTGTAGTGTAAAAGCCTGATAATGGACACTCCTCTGCCATCTGTCTGTTTGTCTGTGAGGCTCAGTGTCCTGCCTCTACAGGTAATAACACAAGTTTGGCTTGGAGTTTGTCTTTCTGCTGCACACTGTGGTAAAGTGTGCAGCTCCACATTCTGCTGCAAAGGCACTTGAAGCCCCCCCTACTGCAGCCTGAAGTTACTTCCCAAATGCACTTTAAGACACTTAAGTGAATGGCTGACGTTTGTTGCATCTAACTGAAGCCACTCTTCACCCTCTGCAGATCAGAGAACTTGTCCCAGAGTCACAGGCTTATATGGACCTGCTGGCGTTTGAGAGAAAACTTGACCAAACAATAATGCGCAAGAGACTAGACATTCAGGAGGCCCTCAAGAGGCCGATTAAGGTAAAAACCACAAGGCTATGAAGTCCCAGCTGTTACATCCATCCATATCTGTCAGCGGTTCATAATCCTGTTAATTGTTCTTTTATTATTATTTTTTTCCTCTAGCAAAAACGGAAGCTTCGTATTTTTATATCGAACACTTTTAACCCAGCGAAGCCTGATGCAGAGGACGGGGAAGGCGCAGTGGCTTCGTGGGAGCTCCGCGTAGAGGGGCGGCTGTTGGAGGATGTAAGTGGGCAATGAAAGGCTGTGGTCTTTCACTCCACCTGTAGTCCCATTTAATCGCGTTTTGTTTGGGGAAATGTGCGAGACTTTTGTTATTTATGTGTTTCCCCCCTCGTATGATTCAGTTCTTGAAGGTATCAAGCTGTAATTGTCTACAAAGGAAATACTTTTTCATTGAGTTCTGGGGCCTGTGCTACGAAGCGGGGTTACTGGCTTATCGGGGTAACTTGTCGGATTTAAGGTAGTCTGGGCAAAATGTAAGTGAACGAATATGAATTTAAACTGTGGTACCTTAAATCCGACAAGTTACTTCGATAAGCCAGTAACCCCACTTCGTAGTACAGGCCACTGGTTAGGTGAGCATGTGTATAGTGACGTTTCCTATCACACATAAAATGAGTCGTATACAAGTGCATGTGCTATATTCCTGGTATTTTTATTTTTGTAAAACCTGCATTGTATTTAAATTGCTTGTTCAGTAATGGTGTGATCTGTTTCATTTAGACTGCTGTGTCAAAATATGAAGCCACTAAACAGAAGAGAAAATTCTCCTCGTTCTTTAAGTCACTTGTTATAGAGCTTGACAAAGACTTGTATGGCCCTGACAACCATCTTGTGGAGGTATGTGACATCGGGTCTGGTGGCTCTAGCACTCTATGGAGTTTGGTTGGAGTTCTCCACCATGTTCATTGTGAATCTTCTCCTGGTTCTTTGATTTTCTCTCATGCTCCTGGTGGATGTGGTTGGTGAATTAGTGTCCGTAGTGTGATATTGCGGGTGAGTGGATGGGTGCCCCTGTCTTATGTCCTGTGCTTCCTGTGATAGGCTCCAGCCTCACCATGACCCTACGCATAGATAAGTAATTATGGAAGAAGGTTGTGTGTTATAGCACTGTACGAAAAGTTGTCATGAATTTGAGTTTGTGGGGGTTGCTGGTGCCTCAAAGAAAGAAAAGCTAAACTTCACAGTTACAGGGTATCTTGTGTTACTAGCAGAACTGTCGTATGTGAACGGTGGCCCTTGGCTTTACACAAGATTTACTCCAGAAGGTACAGGAGATTTCTCAGCCGTTCCAATCCCTCTTCCCCAGTGGCACAGGACAGCCACCACCCAGGAGACTGATGGCTTTCAGGTGAAGAGGCCGGGTGACGTTGGTGTTCGCTGCACTGTGCTGCTCATGCTTGACTACCAGGTGAGAAAATTTAAATATTTGTGTCACATCCCAGTAAGTATGAAGCAGGGCTGTAATGGTACATAAAACTCACGGCTCGTTACAAAACTTCAATACAGTAGAGAAAATTTAAACAAAACTAAAAACTTTAATATAATTAGGAACAATTGTACACCAAAGTCCGACGTTGATTTGTTTCAATAACAATACTTATGATATGCTTGTTTGAATTTTTTTTTTTTCTTTCTTTTTGTAATTTCCTAATAAACCAAAGCAAAGAAGAAACAGCTTCTGCAATTAATCTCCCTGTAGCCTTTAGGGAAGCCGAAATATTCCCAGACTGCCAGTTATGATTTACTGTAACCAGCATTAGCCGTAACCAACTTACCGCCATAATTAGCATAATGCTTTCCATGTGAATTTAGGTTCTACCCTTGTCAAGAACTGTTTGTTTCATTGTGCCTTCCAAACCAAAAATTATGTATCCGAACAGTATGTGATGTACTATTAAAGCACTTTTATGAGCTGTGGTAAAACTAAGGTAGATGTAGTGTATGGTTTGTGTTTTTGTTCTTACCTGATTGTCTGTGAAAAATACCTGGCAGTGAGCTTCACATGTCCTTCACTGCCACGTGGGATCTTTCGAGTCCATCTTCCTCTGTTTCTCATGATGTTTAGCCGCCTCAGTTTAAGCTGGACCCTCGCTTGGCTCGCATGCTGGGGATCCACACCCAGACTCGGCCAGTGATCATCCAGGCCCTCTGGCAGTATGTGAAGACCCACAAGCTGCAGGATCCCCATGAGCGCGAGTTCATCAACTGTGACAAGTACCTTCAGCAGGTGTGTGCGTGTATGTGTGTATATGTGTTTGTGTGTGTGTGTATATGTATATGTGTGTGTGTGTGTGACCCACTTTACCCAGAAAACTTCTGATACCCAGGCCAAGCCTCTGAGGGGGGGACTAATATATTTATAATTTAAGATATTTGAAACTCAGCGGATGAAGTTCTCAGAGATTCCACAGCGTCTGCATGCCTTGCTGATGCCTCCTGAGCCAATCATCATCAACCATGTCATCAGGTGACAGTCCAAGACCTCGATAGCAGATTTCCTCCACTTCCACATACTTGCGTTACTGTTTTAGCACTGCTTTAAGGCTTAGTGTCACATTTGTTGCCCTTGGATGAATGTGTTTTTCTATTGTAGTGTGGACCCTAATGACCAGAAGAAAACTGCTTGCTATGACATTGATGTGGAGGTTGACGACACTTTGAAAACGCAAATGAACTCCTTCCTGCTGTCTACAGCCAGCCAGCAGGAGATAGCTGGCTTGGACCACAAGGTGTGCGGTGTTGAACTTAACATCCACTGATGAATCTATAATATTGTGTGGCTGAGATGTTCTGTCAATCTACTCGCTAATGCTTTTATTGGCGTTTTGACTAGAACGCTCAAGGCTGACGCCCTGTGGTTAGCAGCGGCTACTGCAATTATTCGTCACTGATTTTTGAACAGAATTAGGATTTATAAGAATTTAGTGATTGATTGTCATTGTTGACACACCACAGTGCACAACAACGAAATGTGTTCTCTGCATTTAACCCATATGTAACGTCGTGACATAGCAGGGGGCGGCTAATTCAGCGCCCGGGGAGCAGTGCTTGGGGGCGGTACCTTGCTCTGGGTACCTCAGTGGTGTCTTGCTGGTCAGGGATTCGAACCTGCAATCTTTCAATTACAAGTGCGCTTCCCTAACCAATAAGCCACCACTGCCCAATTCTTGCCAGTCATGTGAAACTAGTGATTTCTGTAACGTTGGCCCTCAGATCCATGAGACAATTGAAACCATCAGTCATCTGAAGACACAGAGGGAATTTATGCTGAGCTTTGCCCGGGATCCCCAGGGCTTCATCAACGATTGGCTGCAGTCACAGTGCAGGGACTTGAAGGTAGGCTATCTTTACTGCAGTGACTGCATGCAGTATGAACCTGAAGGCCATACTATTTGATAGATTTTGCAGATTACGCTAAGGATTCTTGCTAGGTGGTGTGTTTTTCTAAGACTAATGAAGAAAGATGAAGGTACTTAAGTCAAGCGCACACACCTAGATGGGCCATGTGGTGTAGTTAACGTGACCCTGCCTCATGTGGAAACTCCTGACCATCCCTGTCTCAGTAAGGAGAGGAAGTTAGGGAGCCTCTGAAGAATAAAGGCAGCATCCTTATGATTCTCTTTAGAACAATGAAATAGTCATTGTTTGGCCCAAAAAAAGTCTACAAAGCATGTATTCAAAAATGTGATAAATCAGACAATGAGTAGCTGAACAGTGTCCGTTTTTGAGCAGTATTTAGCATTGGCATTAGCATTGCTGTTAGCCCATTTATCTTGTATATAAAAGAATATGAAATAAATATGAAGTTCAAAAGCATCATCCAGAGTCATAAAATGCTTCTGTATGCCAATGGTTACACGGGTTAGCTGAGGGGACAGTCTCATCTCAGAAGGGGCCGAGGCTTGGCTTGCATGCCGGGCTTCCTCCAGAGGCCAGGCCTTCATCCTCTCCCTAAATAGCAGCAGTACACAAAAACAGCACAGAATAGATTATGTAACAAGCTTTTGTCCCCTGGCAACTCACCTGTAGTAAATAATGTGCAGTCCATGTCTGTTTGACAAATATGATATTGGACAGTTTTGAAAATGTTTTTTTTTTTTTCTTTTTCATAACTTTCTCCTTTGGGGAATTCGCCTTATGCTGGTCTTTCAGGATAAATGATAGAATGGGGGATACTTGCATTCTGAAAAGCTGGGCGAGGGCACCTAAATATGGACTCTCTCCTCTGCAGACTATGACCGACGTTGTTGGAAATCCTGAGGAGGAGAGGATGGCAGAGTTTTACTTCCAGCCGTGGGCCCAGGAAGCAGTGTGCCGCTATTTCTACTCCAAGGTGAGTCCCGCTTCCTTTCTGCCCGTTTACTGCATGTCAGCAGCTGCTCTTTCTGTTGAGCATGTCTGCATAATGCTGCTTCGTTTTTGAAGTTCGTTTCTTGGCCCAGTCTTTCCGCTTTAATTGTACCAAATTCTGTTATGCACCTGTTACGCACGTTTTAAGCTTGTTGCTTAATGAAGGATTCACCATTATTGTGACTTACAGAAGTCTGAAGATGATTGAGAATGATGCTTTTGGTTAAATACCGTTCTGTTTTTTCTAGGTGCAACAGAGGAGGCAGGAGTTAGAACAGGCACTTGGAATCAGAAACACTTGAAGTTTGCAGAGTTATACTGGGAAGGAGCTGTAGACCTGGAGACACAGGGGCCAGAGGGGTCTGTTACAACCTCAAAACTGGCCTTTTCTCAAAAATAAATACACAAGCATATTTTGTCACTATTTCCTCTAGTCAGCCGTGAAAAGTGACCATTCTGGATAATGTAACTCTCATCTCTTTATCCTGTCTGTCACAGCTGCCAAAGAAAAGGCCTTTGAGCGCATAGGAAGGCCTAGTACAAGACTTGCCATTTCAGCAAAGTAAAACACTTTCACATTCCTTGTTTTACCCTCTTATGAATCTATTTATGGATCTACATGCTAACACAATGATGCTACATTCCGTTAGCATTTTAGCACTCCTTATTTAGTGTTCCTGAAATGTTATTTTACTCTGTATAATTAGTTTGCATAGACTTACCGTCTGTCTCATAGCTTTGGTGTTGTCTCTCCAGTGCACCCTAATAGTTTAGAGCCATTTCGAGTCCATTTAGTTTTTGGAGATCCAGTGTTAGTTTGTAGTGTAAAATAACACTCCTGTGTATTAAAGGTGAGTGGTCATAATGAACAAAAGGGCATGATGTCATGGCCTTCATTTTTATATCTGCTGTGGTGTTTAGGCAGGTTAGTGAGCCACATTATTAGGGTTGTGTGCATTACGGGTCTGTGCAAAGGTCTGTCGTAGCGGCGTGGGGGGGGGGGGGGCTCGCGGCTCGATGTTTTTGTCTCTATTTCCTCACACACAGAGACTTGAACTTTGTTTTGTCTGCCCATTCATTGAATTTTGGAGTGTTCTCTTGACAATGTCTTTCTGATCAACACTCCATTGTTATTTCAAGCATTAGAGTGTTAAATTATAATTTTTAAATATGGAAAGCCACAAAATAACAGTTGAATTAGAACTAACAGATTAGTGAAAAGCTTGTATAGTCTTATGGTAAATTTTAATAATTGTAGTCACATTCTATACATCTTTTCCTTTTTTGTCTGAGTAGTGCTCCTATGTTTTATTTTTTTATTTTATTAAAGTAGAAATTAAGGACTGTATCCCATATTACTAAACAATTACATGAAAATGTTTGCTTTTGTTGTGTTTGACCACATTGTTTTTGTTTAAATAAAGACTTCATTATTAATTAACCTTTTATTTTATTAGAAATAAAAGGTTCTGAGCCATTTACATTTATCAGTTGCATTTTCTGTAATTTTGGATTTTGGAGTGGATGGAGGTTCTTTAAGTAAAGAATGTAGCCATATGAGAAAAAGGTATGTAACAAGTAAGAAATTGAATTTGCTTTAGGAAAGAATCTAGGCTATGAAACACTAACATACAAACATTTAGCTGCAATGGCTATAACTGCAAGATTTTAGTCACTTTCAATTATAACCTCTGACTGAATGTGTGTCCCTGCTACATGGTCTGGCTGATTTTATGCACTCAGTGGGTTTATGGAGCTTATATGGGTATGACTGAAGAATAACATGAATACAGTTGCTGCAATAGACTTTTAAAAAGATGTTTGCATTAGATTGAAGATCGTTTATTTGTCATGCATGTTTATGCAGTGAAATGCATTACTTCGGTCCCTCCTGGACTAAAACGAAGTCGAAAAGGAAGAGCCTGCAATAAGATGTTAAAATAACTTAAAGCTAACGCCATCAGGAAGAAAAAAATTAAAAACAAAATTTTAAATAAATTTAAAGTATATGCAAGAGATTAGGGGCTGGACTATGGTACACGGGGTTAGTGTGCCTGGGCAATGAAGCAACAATGTATGCTGTGCAATATAACTTAACAATTCATACCTAGCCTATTTTCAGTATACAGCACTGAGTTCGTGGCGACTAATACTAAAAAATATTTTTTATAGTAAGATTTGTCGGAACTTGAGATAGTGGCATACAAATGCATGCATACAAATAAAGGGGATATCTGCGTATATAAACTATAAAATTCGTTCCTCGGGGTCGCGTCTTCAAGGGCGTATCTTGGCTGGAACATTAGGGGGGTTGAGGTCTCCACCCATTACGGGGGAAACATGATTATTGGGGGGGGGGTTGTATTAGCTGGTTTTGATTTATTGGGGGGGCTACAACCCCCCATAATTTACGCCCATGCGCGTCTTACTCCCTGAAACCCGCGAGTTGTAACAGAGACACAGGCGTGTATGGCAGGCTGCTCCCCCCTCTGACAAACCAGTAAGAGTCGCTGGAGATCTGCGACGCCAGAAGCTATTTTAGCGGGCTGGTCGGCTGTGTGATAGATTTGGTGCGAACTTTATGTCTAAGGTCCGGTTGCTCTAGTGTAGGATAATCTTACACCATGGACCCCCCAAAGAAGATTTGCATTGTTGGCTCTGGGAACTGGTAAGCGTCAGATGTAGATCTGCCTTAAACGCTAAGGTTTTACCGGGCATTACTGCGATTTTTAACGTGGATGGCTAGTTTGCCTGCCGTAACAGCTGTTTTATGCAAAGAAATAGGACACCCACGTGAATTGTTGCTCATTTGTGCTGTTTTATTGAAGTTTGAGACGCACTTGTTGGAGATGCAACAAAATAAAACGCAACGAAGAACTGCTCAGTGGAACAGCTGGTTAGTTTGGAAGGGTGCAGCCTTAAGTGGCCCTATGATATTTAGGACGACAGGTGTCTAGCTTTTATTACAGGATCCTGGCATCTCTATGTTTGCAATTTGTATGTGAGTTACTCCGTGAGATTCAGTACCAATAATAGTAACATTTCAGTATTCTAGTTTAGTTATGTATGTGTATAGAGGTTTTCTCAACTTCCAAGTTATATCACAATTACTTTACATTATGTAAAATCTGGTATTTCAAGGATTAAAAAAAAGACCGGAGATGTGCTGCATAGTTCAAATAAAGTGTGAGGTGCATAAACAGGGAGCAAATGTTAGATCATAACCATCTCATTAAATTATCCGCTATAATTTCCAATAAACAGAGATTAGTATTTTGTTCGTAGTGGTGTGAATGCAATTTTGTAAAAGTTCGTGGAACTGACAGTTAGGATACATCTTTTGTAAATCATTTCATTATGTAAACTAAGAATTTTTTTACTTATAAATGATTTGCAGACTTTGCAGTACATTAATTGTGTGGAAGTTTTGCAGAAAAATAGCACGAATTCTTCAAAGACATTTCTGTTGAATCATATGTCCTTTAATCTACCCTAATGAGACCGTTTTCAGATTTCAGATAACAGACTCATTTGTATTTATATATTGCAAGAGTAAGGATTCGGTTATTCTACTTTAAATTTGCTGATGTGTTACAGTTCTTCTCCCACAAATGTGGTTACAAAGAATTCTGAAAATGTGTTACCTGTTAAAGACTGACCACACAAGAAATGGCACAATGACTTTACTACCAGGACAAACCAAAGAACCCGACAAAGACGATTCAACTGTGAGAAACTCAAGACTGTATGGTTACATTTAAAATATCAGCAAATGTATCAATAATGACAAATAATGCTACATGTCTTTGGTTTAATAGCATTTTCGCTGCAATTTTCTTTAAGCATCTACCCCTTTTTTTCCCTCAAAAGGTCTTTTCACAGCCCCGTTCCTATACATATATCGATTCATATAAATAGGTCTTACTGTGTATGTATCAATTCTGAAACTGTGACCTATGTATTTGTCTGAGTTTGTATGACAAGAACATGACAGCTCATTCTTTAAAAACACCGTAACTCCAGAAAGAATTTCAGCAACTACTCCAGGTTTTTGTCAGATCATCTTCAGATATTTAAGAGCACATGGTGAAAATATGAAAATGATGATTATCTGCCCACTTGGGCAAATGAAGATCATCAAAATATGCAATTTGAAAATCCAGCACATATCATAAAATGACTGATACTCCTTTTACAGGAATATATATGGTTATTGCACACACATACACTTTATCTAGCGTTCTGAGTGAGAAGCTCACAAAAGGGTGTTGTTTTGAATTTTTGCCCATATTCAGAGCCTTGAAGGAGGGAAAGTACATAAGATACCCCTGATCTGATTCCATTTTTGAATTCTACAGACAAAGATAGCTCCAGTTTCAAAGTACATGCTCTATCAAAGGGGCTATGGAGGCTGGAAGTTGGTCCAAAATACTGAGTCAGCAAGATGCATGACCTTAAAATTTCAGAAGGCCATAGTTTCAAAACTATTACAGATGCAGGCCTAATATTTGGGATTTCATCATGAATTTGATACAGGAGCATCTCTGATTGTTTCAGGGGAATCTGAGAGGATTATATTTTCTCAGACAGGGTAATTTGATAGGTATGGATACATTTATAGCAATTAAGGTTCTATCTATAAAAACAAAATTTTTTGACATGTATGTCTTTATGATGATAAAACTAGAACAAAATGAAAGTTGATTTTCAGTTAGACAACAAAACTCTTTTTCTGCCTTCCAGGGGTTCTGCTATTGCCAAGATTATAGGGGTCAATGCAGCAGTGAATCCCAAGTTTAACACCACCGTCAATATGTGGGTGTTTGAGGAAATGGTCAATGGGCGAAAGTTAAGCGATATCATAAACACGCATCATGAGAATGTCAAGTACCTTCCTGGATGCAAGCTTCCCGCTAATGTGGTAAGAAAGATAACCATTTAGGGGGATGCTATATTTAATCACAGTACTTGGTATATAGTATAGGACCTGTAGAAAAATTTTGATTTGACTGCTGAAGGCCATTAGGATTACTCAGTCGTTTTTGAATACATAGCTGGTAATTGCTTTACTTTATTCTTTAACTTAAGTTCCGTCATTGGGGTTAGCATGAGTGCAACTAAATACAGCAAATTACAATTGTGGGTGCTGAAAACGTCCCACTTAGCTCTGAGGACATTGATTTGGACTGTTTTTATTACCAGCTGGCAGTACCAGACCTTCTGGAGGCTGCATCTGACAGTGATGTTTTGGTGTTTGTGGTTCCACATCAGTTCATTATAAAAGTATGTGATACCATCAAAGGCAAAGTCAAAAAGGAGGCCCTCGGGGTGTCTCTTATTAAGGTGACCTGCCAAGACGAGACATCAGCATTTCTGACAGTTCTAGCTGCTTTAGCCACTGAACATTGTGCTTGTCACCGACGGCTCTCTGCCAGGGAGTGGATACGAGTACAGACGGACTGAAGCTGATCTCTGGGATCATCCGTGAGAAACTTGGAATTGCCGTGGCAGTGTTAATGGGCGCCAACATTGCCAATGAAGTGGCAGAAGAGAACTTCTGTGAGACCACCATCGGTAAGTGTGGAGGACGTAAGCAGTCCTTCAATGAAATAACTATTTGGATTAAAAAAATCATGTAAACAATTATGTTCATGAAGCACTTGATTATCTTTTAATGAATTGAATGAGTTGTAGAGAATCATTTAAATGCTGGCTGACCTTTCTGCACTGTGTCTAGGCTGCAGGAACCAGGAACACGGTGCTCTTCTGAAGGAGCTAATGCAAAACCAAAACTTCCGCATTACGGTGGTCAGTGAGTGTGACGTGGTAGAAATCTGTGGAGCTCTGAAGGTCAGTGCTGCACCATGCACCATTGCTATGAGACAGCCACTACACAATAGGCTTCATGTATTCTTGTAATCATTAGTGCTGTCGTTCTCGAGACCAGTCTTGGTTTTGTCTTGGTCTCGACTCTATTTGGTCTCAGTCTTGTCTTGGTCTCAGACATAGCGGTCTCGATGGGATGGGGAAAA